ACTTGCACTGGCAGTCAAAAGCGGCAGGGTGTCATCCACCTCGTACGACGGTGGTGCTGACTTGGCTGCAGTGGTCGTTGCAATGATCCGTCTCAGATCCGGTACAGGTGGGATCTTCGCTGGTGGACCAGCTGGCTCAGGGGATTTTGCAGGTGATGGTTCCACTTCAATGGTCGGTTCGGTCTCTACGATTGTAGTAGCCTTTGCTGGTGCAGCGGGTGTGTCCACCACTGGTTGATACTTGGCAGGAACGATCTTCGGTTCTGGAGGTGGTGGATACTTAGCAGGAACGATAACGGGCTTTGCTGATCGCTGACTAGGTGGCGCTGGGACGACACGGGCCGGACGGCCTTCACTCTGCTTTCCCTCTGAGACCCTTACACTACCCTTAGGCTGTGTAGGCATCGTCCTGGGCTTCGATGCTGGATCAGACGGCTTCGAACGGGCTTTTGCTTTGGCTGGAGCTTCAGGTGGTGAGTTCGATTCGATCTTGTTCCAACCTTTGCCTTTGCAGTCACTGGACTCGGTCGCGAAGCCACTCCTGGCGAATGCGAACGAAGCCTCAGGGAAGCTGCTTTGGACTTGGCATGGGTCTCTACTGACTTCGGCTTGGCAGGTGGCGGTCCTCTTGTAATCAATGATGATGAAACCATTCTTTCAAAGATGCTGCCGATCGGTGGCGCTGTCCTTGGAGTCGCAGGAGGGACATTGACCTGCGGCGGGTCGGACACTGGTGCAATCGGACTTGACTCCATCTTTGGACCTGCTGCGGACGATGATGCTGTTGCCATGGGTGCTGTAGTTGGCGGAACCGGTGTTGGTGCTACAGTCGGTGCTATTGGCCTTGCGACAGTTGGTGCACTTGGGGTCGTGGTCGTGGTCACATCAGGAGGTGCACTCGAAGATACGGTCGAAGCTGTCGCTCTCGGGTCGCCGGTAACGTAAACACCGGATGGCTGGAGCTCCACCTCCGACAGGAGGTTGTAGGAGACTCCAGACTTGCCAACTCCATGCGCAGCTTGAAGTTGGGAGAAGGCATCAGAAAACGAGGTGGCCACTCGGTGCGCGACTCAACGGGATGTGCATCGCGCCGGGGCCCCACGAGATCTGATACCCCTCTGCACCTGGGAAGGTGAGGAGCTCTTGGCCTTCCCTCATCTCAAGCACAGCACTTCGTCCTGTCAAGGACTTCAAGCCAAGCAATGCAGGAAGATCTTCGCCAGGACCATCAACAACTGGTGCCTCGAAGGAGAAACGAACAGCTTCTCCTGCACCAGGAGCGAGAGGTCGATCTGACCCGTCCTGCGGTCGAATCACGCGAGGGACAGCCACCGGGACATTGGTGGACTTAGTGCAACCCTGCGTGCCATTGCCGACACCTCGAATCACCATGGGACTGGGCTTGTCGGACTGATACGACCTATGGCCATACTCCCTTGCTGCTTCTGCCTGGCAGGTCTCTTCCTCTGGCGAGTTACGATGGCGTGGCGTATGCTGTGCATCAACACTGACATACCTGAAGTTCGCAATGACATTGCCGGCTCCTCGACATGTGGGACACTCTGGCTGCTCTTCACGGACTAGCAACTCGGTCCAACAAGTCTCATGGAACAGGTGCCTGCAGCAAAGACGAACTAGCGGCTCTGCATTTGCGAACTCCTCTTGGCAGATGATGCATGTGTCAACTGAGCCATCAAAACCATCAAAACGTGAATGATTGGATGTCTCACGAGAAGTGGCGGACGGGACTGGAATCTCATGAACAGGCTGTGGCTCGACAGTGCGAAGGGCTGCACGGACTCTTGATCCAAGATCTCGCCTTTCCTTCTGTCTTCGCTCGAGCTCTAACGCATTCAAGGTCTGTCCAACTACTTGAAATGGCTGCAGTGACACGGCTTGGTTTGGATCGACGGACACGATTGACTCTTCACCTTGAGGTCGTTGGGATGGCTCCATGTTCAACAGCAGAGACGTGTCATGGATGTCTGAGATTATCTGACTTTGATACCTATCCAATGAACTTACTACGTTCTGCTGAATCGGACGCACGAACTCAGGTGGTGGCAGTGGCGTTGAGCCCAAAGACGAATTGGAACTCTGGCATGTTGGCCCACAACGGAACTGAGGGCACTGGCGCGTCACGGCGATCTGCTTGTTGTCGATCTGGTTGTACTGGTTGTCGTTCGGGTTGTACTTCTTGAGGTAAGAATCCTGCGTCAGCCGGTTGTTGAGGCAATGCATCATTCTGTTGAGAACTGGCAGGCGAATTGCTTTGGGGACGTAATGGAAAGGGTCGGAATGTTGTATTCGGGGCCAATGGATTATGTGCTGACATGGGAGTCGCAGGAATGGTCCATGATGTGGTTGTGGATGGAGCCTGCCATGACATGACTGACGGGGCCGATGGCTGGAACGAAGGCATCTGAGGCATCTGTGGCATGTGTCCTTGGTACGAATGCGATCGAGTCGGTCCGTACGAGGTCGGCTGTCCCTGTGGCATAGGATACGATTGCGAACTCCACGGATCGTTCTGTTGCAATGGATCGGCTTCTTCAACCATCAAGAACGTACCACTAATGATTCCAGGGGGGAGATCATGCGCTGCTTGGCTACTCAATGGTGCATGCGTTTCAATGGACAATGTGGTGTTGGATTGAGATCGTTGTGGGCACTTGTTCACAAGATGTTCCGTACTACCACACTGATGGCATTTCATGACCTCTCCATTCTTGCCCCGGGGATTGCCTCTTCTGCCCTTGCCCTTACCGGACGACTTGCGCCAATTGCGACCCTTGGCCATGGGGAACATGGATGCAACTTCATGGTCGGACAATGATGCTAGATACGCACCGGCATTGGCATTTTTTCTTGTGGATTGGATCTTAGCCTTACCCTTACCCTTACCCCCTTTCTTTCCCTTACCACCCCTCTTCAAGAACCTACGAACTCTCCGGGTGGGCTTGTTCATGTGCGAACGCCAGGCCTGCTTTGCACGGCTGCACGCACACCAAAGACGATGCGTTTCAGATTCCGGCCTGGCGAACTCCTCTGGCATGTCCTCCTCATGAACAGGGGATGTGTTGGATGATGTGTCACTATCTGTACACGAATCATCATCGGCATAATATGCGGCTGGGGTGTCATATGGGTATGGGGGAGGCTGATACGATGACGATGCATCATTGGCTGGCATTGCAGGATAATGTTCAAAGTTCGACCATGACATGTCCTGGAACTGATCTGGGCTTTGTGCCAAATTCTCACCAAAATAAAATATGCCTGATTGAACCTTTGGTTGGGTCGGTTCATCGAAGATGCTACATTGCCTGGCGTCCTCTCAACAATGTGGCCCATTCGACGAAGTGCTGACTTCAATGCCTCCATACCTTGATCATCTGCTGGCAGGTTCCCATTCAATGGCGGTGTCGCCAAGAGATTCAACAACTGATGTTCTGAAACTCCTACCGCCCTGAGAAGCAACCAACTGAGGCCTTGGGGTGACAGGACAAGATTACCATGCTCTTGAGCCTTGATCCTAGCACCATCGAACCTCTGCAGCAAGGCGTCGATCCTCTCGCCCGAATGCCTATCGAACGAAAGCAGGCCTTGGATGGCCTCGAGACGCTGTTCCTCACCAAGCCTTGCATACCTTTGGGCAAGCGAATGCATGATGAAGGTCACCGAGTCCACGGCCTGGCCATTGATCACGCCTCCATTCAAGATCACTGCTGGAGGGATCGTCCTAGCAAGCTCTCTGGCATTGCCAGTCAGCACACTGAGAAGCGCTGCTGCCTTCCGGCCACCATCCCATTCGCTCATGATGCTCCACAGAAGCACATCACGGCTCCAATGGACGAATGGATAGTTGCTTTCAAGCTCAGGCCCCCAGCTTGGTGGCAGCTTGGGGTTGCGAGAGGAACCAAATCCGGGATGCATGAATCCGAGAACACAGCATGGGGCAACTGCTGCCAAAGATGCAGCCACATACTGGATCAAGACGATGCTCCTGTCCAAGATTCCAATCGGCACATTCATCAGACGACGTCCACCAAGATCCTCTTCGGGAGATGAACTGGACGCCAACAGCGTACTCTCAACAATCCCTCTGATCTCATCCGAGATGGAGATTGAAGCGTTGGGTGAATTCCAAGCACTCGAATTCAGCGATGCATCCTTGTGTCGGGCCTTCAACCACCGCTTACGTCGCCTCCTCTTGAGCTCAGCGTTCCGAGAACCCTTCAGAGACGATCGGGTCTTAAGGCGGGCCCTATGGTAGGAGCGAAGCTTGTCATTGGGCTTCGGAGTCCTAGCCTTCGCCGCCTCGTGAGATGCACCTGTGGCATTCGAAGATCTGACCTCCTGCAACCTCCAAGATGTCTGACCTTCCGCCTCACCTAGCGAACGAATGTGCCCAGGCTGGCTTGCATTGGACGAAAGCCTGGGCACTGGCTGAGACCTCTGACCTCCGGTGGTGTCCATCACACTCTCAAGATGAGACAGCCTTGGGTCTCCCCAAGACTGCCTCACCCCGAGAATGATCAGGCTAACCACCGCTAGCACCATCGTTCCGACGCGGGTGTGTGAGAACATCATGATCACCTATCTATATATATCTTGATATGGATGAATCCTAAGTGATCTGTCCTAGCGAGCGTCGATGGAACTTCAAGTCAGGGGCCCTGGATCCTACGCCGGGGTTACCGGCTCCGCTACCAACTAGAAAAACCGTCTAGAACGACGTGTACGCGACGTACCGGAAAGCTGAAAGTAAGAACTCCTGTTTCTGTCGCTATGAATTGGCTTGTGTTAGTACTTGTGTTGATCCGGATCCGCCCTTGAACCACCAGTGGATATACATGTCATGTGTAGATCATGTACCCTTCTAGTACACACACACACACACAAATTCAATGTATACTATACACCGATTCAATTCCTTCCTGCCATGGTCATAAATCCTTGTGTGTGGGGGATGGCCTACGTAGAAGAACAAACAGCTCCTCAAGCTGCTGTGCCAAGGACAACGATGCCATTGAGCGCCGACGGCCTCTCATCGTAGCACACACCGCAGCTGATTCAGCTTGTGTAAAAACGACTTTTTGTGCGACATGCACGGCACAGAATGTGGATACATGATGAAACATGTAAAAACCTCGGCGAGAGTGGACCTTGTATTTCACAAGCGCTCTATGCTGGTCAGGGCGCCACGAAGTGGAAAGTCAGGAGAACAAACATCAATATAAGATTCAATCGCCATCAATGGTTCATGTCTATTCTGTGAGTGACTTGAATCCGTGGACTCATGCCTCCCGTCCGGCTCATTCTTTTGTCATTCTCAAAGCGATCCATTCGCCGCATGTAGCGATCCATTTCTGCAGAATACCTCTCGGTATTCTCCTCATGGCAAACTCAGCCCAAACCCACCTCTACTGCAGTTCGCTTGGTAAGTACACTCCCATGCCCACCTCCACCTGTCACAAATAGATAATGTCTACGCACAAAAAGTGAGAGAATGCGTCAAACTGCTCAAAGCTGGCTCAACAAGGAAACCACTATGAAACCAGCATGGGCCATGGCGATTCAGCTTTTTCGAGGGCATTAGTTTCCATGCGTTGCTGTTAGGATCTGTTCAGGATCCCTTGAGGCATTGCTTGGAATCACTAGTTGATGGCTGCCCCTGGTACTGCAGTCCTGCTCTGCAATCTGCCGCTTCACTTTGGCAGCTTCATTCCGCAGTCTCCTGGCAACGGATGCACTAACACAGGACATGATCTCATGATCTCGTTCATTCATTGTCATTCTTCTAAGATTCTACATTCTCCTCATCAAAAAGCAACAAAAAGAGAACTCATCGGCTCGTGCCCTGACTCTCGGGCGCCTGTGCTCCGCCTGCTCCGCCAGCCGGACGCGACGCCGCTGTGGCTGGAAGCTCCGGAGCTGCGTGGAGGACATGACGATGGGCACCGGAGGATCGGGCCGTGGAGGCGCTGGGCCAAACCTCGGACGCAGTGCGGTACGGGTGGTCGTCCGTGTTCGTTGGGACGTCGACAGTAACAGGATGTAACAAGAGCTTGATTGAGTCCTAGGTCCTAGGTGAGTCCAGCTGCGATAATTCGATATACAGTAATTCGATCCTTTTGTGTTTGCAAGTGTGACTCTGGGCAAGCGATTCTTATCACACGTGCTGGAATTGCGGAGAGCAGCGACGGATCCATGGCCAAAGGTAGTGGAGGTGGCTCAATACGCCGACTGTAGCCTCAATCAGGGCTTGCATTTCGGAGCACCCAATCAAGCCTCCTAATCTCAAATGGACCGCAGCCTGCCTGCGGTCCACTCTCGAAGCGGGTGCCGAGTGACGGTAACAGGCCAACCTGAACTGCAAATCCTCCAAGGCGTCGGGATCCTCGGGCCGTTCGTCCACCTCCTGCACAAACGGAAGTGTCCATGGATGTCCATGGGTTTCTCGACAAATTAACCCAAATCACATCCCTACGCAAACGAAGGAAACTTCCAAGCCGGAGCTAACAACGGCTCAAACCTGCCCCAGAGCACTTGCTTCAGTGTGTTCGGTCGAAAGGTCGAAAAAGAGCCACACCACATCGTTGCTTTCACCCGGACGTTCGACTCTTCCAAATTCTTCGACCACGTCTCCTGCCCCGGCCGTCCCTGGAAGTGCTCCATGGAACTCCGGGTCCCGTCGATCGAGGCCAACGCCGCATTCGTCACCTCTTCCAGCCGCCCCGGGGGCAACAAGCTGAGCGCCTCGGACTCCGGTCGGGTCGACGGTGGGTGGGGGGGCGGCACTTGAGTTCTCCCAAATGAAGTCAAAGGTTTGACTCGGTTTGACCGTTTCACATGCACTTCTTGAATCTGCTTGCTGTGCTGGCCAATTAGGGATTCAGTATAACCACCGTGTGCATAAATAACTCTGGATTGCGGGCCACGGAGGTAAAACATAAATCAAGTCCAAAAGTTGGTTCGGATGTCGTCGTTTAGGGTAATTTGGTCGATTTACCAACCATTCTACATGTGTTCCGCCGTCGGCTTTCCCGGTTTGCCAGAAGGGACTGTTGGAGCAAGTCGATCCACGGACTGGTTTCTCGTGCGACTGGCACTCAATATGGCCCCGCACATCACCGTTTGTCTCGGAAGCTTGTTTCCTTGCAAAGGTTGGGAAAAGTGTGGCATGCTTTCTTCTCCAGCCAAGGTGGGTGAAGTTGGCACTTAGGAAATGCACGAACACTTTAGCCTCATGCCGCCTATGCCCTGGTTCATCCGCTAAACGTGTCTCAAACAATGGACCTCGATCATCCAGACCCCGCACCAAGCCCTTCTACCGTAGACCCTGCCTGCTGCTTGTTCTCTGTGTCCCGGTGTGGATGTGAGCCTGGCTCCACGGACCCCAGGCCAAAGACAGCTGGCTCCACGTCAAAACAAACCAAAAACGATTTCAGAAATCGATTCCAAAACCCAATTGATTCGTCATTCTGGCATCCCAAATAGGTTCCAACCAAACTCCTAAGCCACGTACCCCCAAACAAAAAAGAACATGGCTTTGGCGGTGGCCCACCAGGTCCGTCCCGCGCCTTCGTCCCCGGCGCCCACACGCGTTTGGTGGCGCTTCTGGCAGGGAGCGCACAAACAGGAGAGCTCCTAGTAGCCTCTTGCTCCGTTCGTAGCGAGGCCAGGAGCCCCTAGTAGCTTCTTGTTCCTAGTAGCAAGCGCACAAAAACGCATAGGATGTGCGTCACACATGTTGATATAGGATGTGTGGATGTCTGCATATGTGTGTGTGTGTGTGTGTTTGTGTGAAAATGTCCGCGGTCTCCGGGACTCACAAATCCAATCAACTCAAATGGTTTGTGAACAGCACCCAGCGCCTGTGCATTGACCGTCTGTAGGACAGGGTCAGATCGAACCCTCAGCAGCTCAACACTCGCTTGCCTTGGCCCCTGTCATTAAGCTACACTAGCGATGTCGACTGTCGACCGTTGCAAGGCGAGCAACTTCCGAAGCCCAATGAAGGATGGAGGTTGATCCCATGTGCGATCTGAGACCTCACAAAGCCAAGTGGTGCGGACTTGCTCTTGCAACTGAATGCTTTCAAACTTGTACTGCTACTTTGCTCACGGCCTTAACAAAACCGTTGGTGCCAAACATTGCGGCGCTCCGCGCGCCATCATACCGCGACATGGCATCACATCAAGCCTATGAAACCACCAACCCAAGGGTCAAGCCGCAAGGTCGTCTACGATGTTTAAGCTTATTCTCTTGGAGCTGAGGCTTTTGGTCCCATACGACCCATACGAGTCACCATATCCGTCTGTGTCAAGAGGCTTCAGGACACCATACCCCAATCTGAAGTTGTATGATTCCGTCTTCTGTCTGTCTCATGGCAGCGGCGTGTTGAGCAATGGATTCAAGGACTCAAGGGCTGCAACTGCAGGGCTGGGCTTCGGAAAATTTTAGCAGACTGCGGCAGTCGCAGGAAAGGCGTCAAAGCACGAGTTGCACTAGTCCGGTATGTGGGAGAAGTCCATCCTCCAGAAAGCTCATCACTCAAAGCAACACCACCAGAGGTGGTGGCAACCACAACGCTGGGTTACCCAAAGCACAAGTTCACTCTCCTTCTCCACAGGACCACTCGCCCCAAAGAGTCAGCGCTCGCAAGAAGGGTGTCCTGAATTCTCGAAGGGCCGAAGTTTGTTGGCAGCTTATGAAACATCTTAACAACCGTCCCTGTCCCAATGTCTGTCCGAAAAGCACCCCCCACATTTCAATTCTGCAAGTTTTGTGCCTGGTGGTTAGTTGCCACAGCAACCACCGGCACCTGTCGGTCTTGCTATGAGGGTCTGGGCTGAACAAGAAAAGCCAAAAAAAGAAGGTCTTTAGATAGGTGCCGGTGCGCCTGGTGGTGCTTGAGGTAGCTCATCTTGTAATTGGCACCCTTCGCAAGTGAATAGATATAAACCTGGAGCGGCTGCGGCATGTCCGCCATGTCTGCAATCCTTTCTTACTAGTTACTAGTGCAATTCCTGGAGTTCAAGTGATTCACCTCCTTATCTTCTGAAGCCGAAATCAGGAATCCCTGGCTGGACCTGGCAAGGGCGCCGCGCGTCGAATTATCGGTTCGCTGTCATTCAACCACTGGCAGGTCCACGGTGAGTAGCAGCACTTCAGAGGCAAAAGCGCATGTGCCACCCGCACACCTAGGTGCATTTCGCATGTTTGCACCGGTTTTGGCCAGGTTCCTTTAGGCACCGCCTACCCGAAGAGATCTGAAGATGCTTTCTACTCTCTGGGGTCTCTGCGATGCCTGACGGCTAGATTCGTCAGGACCTGCATTTGCTCAACTCGCGTACAGTCTCACGGGTCGTGCAGTCTCTCTGCCAAGCAGGGGAATCTCCAGGTGTCGAACACCGGCTGGAGGTCCATAAGTGCAATCGATAATCGAAGCAGAGGAGTCAGAGGTGTTCACCTCAGCCATCCAAACGAAGTCTTTGCACGACTGTTTTCAATCAAATCGACACAGCTGTGTGTTGTGTAAGGTTAGTCCAGGGCGAGGAGGCAAGGAGGCTGGCCATGAGCTGCAGGAACAAATACCAGACAGGTCACACCTGCATTGTGACAACAAACATCTGAGGTAAAGTCAAGCACCAAATTTGGGGCCTAGCCGCCCAGCCTTGCTCCACATCTATTGACCTCTCTACCTTCTCTCTGTAACTCTCTCCGTAACTCTCTCTGTAACTCTCTCTCTCTCTCTCAGTTCTTTTTGCGCCCATGACAGGCATTTGCTGCACCACCCATCATCGGAAGAGCGGATCACCCTAGCTGAAATGATGGGTGAATCGTACTACGCGAGACCTTTGCTTCTGTCAACCAAATGCTCTGCGATGGCACGTGCGCTCGGATAGTCGAACATCAATGCAGCTGGCAGGTTGCCAACCCCTTCAAACGATCTGGAGAGCTCATTTCGGAAAGCCACAGCTGAGAGACTGTCCAGTCCCGATTCCATGAGAGGAGTATCCAAGTGCACTTCCTCCCCACCACCTGAGACCTGCTCCACCACGGCCATGAGCTTTTGCTGCACCATTTCTGGATCCAAGCCCTTTGGCACAGCAGCTGCCGAGGCAGCTGCAGGTGCTCCAGGGACATCCTGCGCAAACATTTGGTCTGGGATCTCTTGTTGGACTTGCTTTTGAACTCCTTTGATGAGCTCCATCACTCCCAGGACCCGACCTTCCACCTGGCCATCCTCAGCACGCCGTGCTAGCTCCAGGGCCCGATTCGCGATCTCCAAAGCCTTCTGTTTGTTGCCCATCAAATTGGCGACCTCCGCCGACAGGCACACCACCGTGGCTTGGTCGCTCACCGCCCCACATTCACGGAAGAGATCTTCGGCCCTTTTGCAGGTCCCAAGAGCTTCTTGACCACGATTCAAAATTGCCAAACCATGGGCCACATGAGCCATAGCGGAGGCTTCTGCATAGGGATCGTGGTTCCTCTTGGCCATTTCCACAGCTGACCGGGCCCGTTTCACTGCCTCATGAGCCGAATTCCGGTGTACTCGATTGGCCTCAATGCCCGCTCGGCTTTCACCTTGCTTCTTGGACTCATACTGCTTAGCTGTTTGCCCACTCTTGTCTCCTCGCTGGAGGCTTGAGGAAGCCAAGAAATGCAACAAGAGAGTCTCTCCACGGACATCTTCAATGGCCTTGCAATACTTCTTGGCAATTAGTGCTTGCTTTATGGCCTCCTGCTCATCACCTTTGGCCAGGTGTGCGGCAGCCAACTTCTGCAAAGCATCTGCTAAGCCCTTCTTGAAGTCAAGCTCTTTGCACAAGTCTCTGGCCTCCTCAGCACTGGCAACAGCCTCCTCTGCCGCTTGGTTCTTCAAATGCGCATCTGCTAAAGTCAGCAAAGTGGCCGCGGCATCTCGTCTGTCCCCAGCCTCAAGCAGAAGGGATTTTGCCTCCGAAAGCTTGCTCACGGCTGTCGCGTGCTCGCCCTTGGCACTGGAGACCTTGCTGATCGCGGCCAGCGCGTTTGCTTCCAAACGCCTGTCCTCTGTCTCCTGAGCCGCTCGAAGTGCTTCTTGAGCTGTGTTGGCTGCGTCCTCATGTTTTTGTTCCACAATTTGCGCATTTGCCAAGGCGATGGTGGCAAGCACCTCAGCCTTCTTGTCTTGGATGTCGTCAGCCAGTTGCTTGGCCTCCTCAGCCTTCTCTTTTGCCTGTCCGGCCTTCTTCAAAGCGGCATAAATGGATGACAGAACGAGCAAGCCATCGAGCAGACCATGTTTGTCACCAAATTCTCTCAAAATATCAATCTCCTGGTTTTGCTCACTGGCTGCCAGTTCCAATTCATTTCTGGCCTGCCGGACATGTGCTAGCGCGCCATGTGCAGCTGCCTCTGCCCTCTTGTTGCCACTGGCATCATAGTCCTCCAAAGCTCCCTCTGCCTCCTTCAAGGCTCGCTTTAGGTCACCTCGTTGGACCAAGGAGTTCACCAGCAAGCGAAGTGCTGAACCTTCGCTCTTGGCTTGCTCCATCTTTCGGCAGACCGCCAGAGATCGCTCGGCATATTGCACGGCAGGACGTGTCTTCTCCTTGAAGACGTGAACCTTGGCCAAGAGCTGCAAAGCACTGGCTTGGAGCTTTGGACTCTCGAGGTCCTCTGCAATTTCCAGCGCCGAGTGTGCGGCGCTCAGCGCATCTCCCGAACGACCTGCATCCATCTGTGCTAAGGCCAGCCAATTGTAGGACTTTCCTTCACCAATCCTATCTCCGGCTTCTTTGTACAAGGCCACCGCTGACTCGGCAGAAAGAACCGCATCCTTGGCTTGACAGCGCCTAAGCTGCGCTCGGCAAGCCAGCACATTGCCAAAGGCCTCAAGCCTCTTGTCTCCGGAAGCCCTCAACAGGGGCAAGGCTTCCTCAATGTTGCTGATGGCTTCCCCTGCCAAGGCTTTTGCCAGCTGGGCCTCTGCAAGGGCCAACAACATGCAGCCTTGCCCACGCTTGTCGTCACTCTCTCTGAAGCTCCTCAACTCAGTCTGGATCTTGTCAATGGAAAAATCAGGAGCCTGCCTCAGCGGACGTGCCAAAATCCAAGGGAGCTTATCGCATCACTACAAAACAGAAACAAAAGGAATGCGAAATGCATCAAAAGACAGGTCCGAGCAATCATGACTAATCTCTGAACGTAGTCCATGGACCCGACATCATCATGCGCGCCTACCCAACATTCATCACCACCACCACTCCACACTTATGGATATGCGTACTGACTTGACGGCGGTGCCACACGCCGGCCTAGGGTTCCATTTCCTAAGAGTACATGTACGAACCACGGGATCCTGGAGGTCTTCAAGGGGAAGTAGGGCCCAAAAGGAAGAAAACGAACGACGGACGAACAGGCTGACGACGTTCCGCTCGCATCTGCAGTTCCAAGAAAACATCAAATCTTCGAGGTTCTTGGCTTGGCCTCTTGCCATTCGGAAATTTGGAAAATTGCAGGTACGTCCAGCTGGCCAAGCTGGATATCCTATTTCACTGGTAGCTTCGTTGGACACAGTCCCAGTGAAATGCTGTGTCCCCCTGCTGCAAACGAAGATATTAAAAGCAAGAACAGTCCAAAAGGATCCCTGTGATTCCAAGGGGTACACACACACGCCTCCCCGAGGGGAGGCAAAATTAAGGCTAGGACGAGTGTGCAAATGCGCGCGCAGCAAAGACAAAAGGGTGAAGACATGAAAAGGAAGACACGACGGGACAAAAGTGTGTGTGGTTGCGATGAAGGAGAAACCAAATGCACAGGGACAACCGGTGAAACCTCATTGTCGAAACCTGGGCGACCTGATACCTGAGTTAGAAGTGGATGTGCGCGTACACACTAAGGCCCGGACCGTTGTACGCGCAAAAGAACGAAAGGAGTGAGATGAAAGGACATGAAGCAAGGGAAGACATGAAAATCATGAAAAGAAAGAGGAAAAGAAGTGTGTGAAGGGGAAAGGATGAAAAGGGAACCAAATGGGGGGGACGGGAACCGATGAACCCAGACCTCATTTCAACAACCTAGGAAGACCTGCCTCGTTAAGGTGTGTACGATGTGTGTGCACCTAAGAGTCCGACAGGTTCCAATGAACCTCAAAAGTGCTTCGGTCGCTCTGACCACGTTGAGGCGTTAAGCCAGCTTGGACCGCTGCGGTCACGTAAAGGCATGAGCCAACTTAGAATTCCAAAAATGAGACAAACATCCCACTTCTTGAGGCATGAGCCATCTGCTGTCCGCTGCGGACATCTGCGTTCCCAGAGCCGGGGGAACATGGACAAACCCCCGTTCAACGGGTCCACGGGAGGCACTCTGCGGGCTCATCCCGGACTCTCACTGGGAGAGACACACTTATGGATATGCGTACTGACTTGACGGCGGTGCCACACGCCGGCCTAGGGTTCCATTTCCTAAGAGTACATGTACGAACCACGGGATCCTGGAGGTCTTCAAGAGGAAGTAGGGCCCAAAAGGAAGAAAACGAACGACGGACGAACAGGCTGACGACGTTCCGCTCGCATCTGCAGTTCCAAGAAAACATCAAATCTTCGAGGTTCTTGGCTTAGCCTCTTGCCATTCGGAAATTTGGAAAATTGCAGGTACGTCCAGCTGGCCAAGCTGGATATCCCATTTCACTGGTAGCTTCATTGGACACAGTCCCAGTGAAATGCTGTGTCCCCCTGCTGCAAACGAAGATACTAAAAGCAAGAACAATCCAAAAGGATCCCTGTGATTCCAAGGGGTACACACACACACACACACCACAGCCCCAGCGGTTTCGCGTTGCTGCAATTGCATCCCAAACACTTCAAGCGCTCGGCTCCACATAGGAGGCGGACGGCATCCTGTTGCCCTGGCTTGCTGTTGGCCTCTCGGAAAAGGTCCAAGGCTTGACCACCTTTCAACAAGGCCTCTTCCACCTCTTCCTCCTGCAAATGCTCCTGGCATGGACGAGCAACATGACTGTGTGTGTGTGTCTCTCTCTCTCTCTCCCTCTCTCTCTCTCTCGCAAGTCTGGCTGTCAATCAGTCGTCACATATGTGTGTGTGTCTATATTTATGTGTATATATATATATTGTTTTTTGCGTATAATGTATTTGTTGGATTGGAAAAAACGCCGTAGGGAGCTTTTACCAAAAATACAAGATGTTCTGGCCACTTGCCCTCACTTCAAGTTTCAGAAGAGCCGTTCTCAGCTCCTCAGCGACGGAATAAAGGACCGCTGCTTCCCGAAGCTTGGGATTCACCGTCTTGTCCTCCGCCAGCTGACTGTAGTAGGAGGCTAAGTTCGTTGCTTCTGTCTCCAAAAGCTTTTTGGAATCTTCATCCAGCCGCCGCCGCTGGACCTCACTTGTGCCGCTCATCAAGTCTACCCCCCTTCTTGAACCAAATCTCTGCGGAAAAGCAGGGGCTTTCAGCGCGACTCATGCCCTCCGCCGCTTTCCAAATTTTTACTGACTCACACCTTGAGTTACAAGTCTTCGATGATCAAGCTTCCATCAACCTTTGCAGTTGCAATCAGTGCGCAACCGGCCTCCCCTGGCCAACTGCACCTTGAACTTGAACTTCAGGGTGTTGTTGTCACAAGCCTCTCAAGCATCAGGCGCAAAAAGACCAGCAAACCATCAACACACCCAAAGGTTTTGAGAAAATCTCGAAAGCACCTCCAGCACGTGAATGCTGCCACTCTTCGTACCAGCCTCAGACAAAGGAATGCCGTACCGACACCACCTCTGGAATATGTGTTGAATTCCCCTTGTGCTGCTTCTTGGGGTGAGAGGTTTCTGCTCTATTCAATAAAGTACTTATAAGATTCAAGTACCACTCCGCCTAGTAATGCACCCGGGGGTTGAACCCAGGTACGGCGGGAGGGATGCGTCATAGACACTAGCCCTCTGGAAACATACACTTGCCTTCGTGAGAGGAGATTTGGCTGGGCTTGTGGTTTATGGAATGGGCTTCCACCGGGTTGTTGATGGCTGCTACTGCTGCATTTTTTGCACGAGGTGTGGGAAATACGATGTGTGAGAGGGGATTTGGCAGGGTCTGTGGTTTATAAAATGGGTTTCCCTGCGGGAACATCCGATGGACCGTGTAAGCGGAGGGTTGGCAGGGACTGGTGTTGATAAAATGGGGGTCCCCGTGAATGTGTGTTGACATGTCAGTCTTCCAAGTTGGTCACTTTATATACTGTATAAACATCAGGTGTGGGAGAGAAGGATTGTCCCCAGAAAGCCTGGAGGGTGAGGGATAAACAGACTGACACGTTCCAACTTGTTTTCTGGAGCCAGATGTCTGCATGAGATGGTCTGATCGGTAACAGGTGCTTGTGTGTGTCAAGTCATGTGGTGGTATTGGTGCCTGCCAAAAGCCTTGTCCATTTCCGAATGGGGGCCATGCTATTCGGTGGCTGTCACGAATTTGTCTACCTCCTTGTCTTCGTGTCTTTTTGTGTTTTGTGCGGAAGATTGCCCGGTAAGGCCAGTTTTGTGCTTCGATGGCACCATGACTACAAACCAAATCCTTTGTCGTGCCGGACCAGGAGATGAAGAGACGCATTGGGGCAGTCTACGCCAGTTCGTGGCCTTTTTGGCACGGCTACCCGGCAACACGGTTTGCAAGCAAGGCTGAGTTCGAGCAGCCTCAGCCTCGGGCATTGAACAATCATATATATATATATACATAACTTGGAATATAGAATTTGTGATCAAAATGTGATGTGATGTTTGGAAAAGGGAAGATTGACCCAGAGAAAACACACGTTCACCTGCAAATGCACTCCTTCAGAACAATGAATGGCAGGTATTGGGTTCAAAACGTTGCAAATTCGAGGAAGAGCAAGCAACATACATCTCACTTTGAACTGTTTTTTGACAGTAGAATGTGTTGGGCACCAAATGCAAGATTACAGTGGAGAAGTTCAGGTCACTGCTTGGCGTTATCCTGGTCCTGGCTCTCGTTTCCCCAACTCCCAGCACTTGAGCTAGCAGAAGGCATGCCTTAGGCCTTAGGCGTCTCAGGCACGGGCCAAAAGGAACATGCCCGTGTCATCGAACTTCAGGGTCCTCACCTCTGTCTCCACCTGCAACTGACAACCCGTCACCGGTGTCTGAAGTGTGAAGAAAATGATCCAGCCACTACGTCACTGCGGTGGACAAGGTTGACTCTTAACGAATAGCCCCGCAACGCCCTAGAAATGCAGAAGCCATCTACTTAAACATCTGCCCATTAATCAACGGCCATCATTGGTGTTGTAGGAAAACACGACTTGAAAGGACTGTGGCCTTCAGCTTCTGTATCACCATGCCGTTCTGCACATTCACCAGCCGAAGAACAGCATTGGAATTGGCGGCCACAAAGATCTGCGAGCTTCTCTCTCAACACCCAAACGGGGCAGAAAACGATTCAAGTGGCAAAGGGGTAAAGCAGTGAAGCATCCTAGTCCAATTCCGGCACCAATTGGGTTGCACTTTTCATTATCTTCCATCATCAATGCCTTTCACAGAAGTATCCTCCAAGTCTGATTGACTTTGCTAGTTGCCACCTGCGGGTTGAAGGGCAGGAAGGCAGCGACTGGCACCGGCGAGGAGTCGGTAAAGACCTTGCCAAAAAATGCCAAACAACTGACACCGAAGGAAACCACCGAAATCACATCCACATAGGTGCTCTCTGATTCTTGGATATAATTGGCGTGTTTCGAAGGTCTGCAGCCTATGTTAGGACGCCGGTCCCGGCCAGTCCCCTACAGTGACACGGGCCACCCAACGGCTCCCCTATTCATCAGAAAGGCCATCGGAATGCCTTTGGATGTACATCGGTGTTGCTCCCTTTCCTACCTAGCTAGGTGGGTAGGTAGTTATAGTTACACCCGTCATGGCCCCACCTTCAGCATCTCACCAGTGTCCACATTCCAGAAACGGACAGACTTGTCGATGGAGGTCGAGACCTGGTAAAGGCAACCCTCAAGTTGATGGGGTCTCGGACGAACATGATATTAGCTCAACTAGCTCAAGAATTGGTGGCAATCACCCTGTTGCTTATGTGCTCAGCTGCAGCCATGTTCTACAAGTAGCCCAAACAACTGTGAGCTGACTTTGCAGTGTCTGGGTTGCAAACCAGCTGATCCTCGAGCAGGTTGAAGAACACCGAGGTAATGGCGCGAGAATGCCCCACCAAACGGGAATGCACCTAGGTGCTGGTGATAGAATGCCAACAGCATGACACGCTGCCCCACGCATCACTGCCCCAGTATGGAGGTCGGCACCGCAATGTTGGAGTGATCAGGCGGAGGCGCGGACTCAGGATGCAAAGAGATGTGCAAATTCACCAAGTCCCACCACACATCTTTAAAAATTGCTCTGAGGTTGGAGGGGACCGCTACTAGGTTGGAGGCCATCGCTCTTAGATTCCTCCTCCCAAGTGCAGTGTGGCGGCTGTATCGCCCCGGAAGTCTTCGTTCGAAAGCAAGGCAATCTCCATCTCCGTCCTGTGCCAAGATTGTCGAGGTCGACAACAAAAGACATCAAACTATCAGGAAAACAGATTCAACATCGATTCAACACACGCAGGGGCTGGAGTCTGGCTAGAAGGCGCCGGTCTTGAAACAAAGACAACTGCTCGTTTCCAGGGAGTCCGTGGTCTCACAGACAGTCGCTTGAGCCTGTAGCATCGGTACACCACCACAGTGCCATCTTTGGAAGCAGTGACAAAGAGGATGTACCTGGCACGCGTGGGCCTTCATGGGCCGTCGTGCACGGGGATAGCGCAACTTGCAACGTTGCACCTCAATACTAGGGTGTCGTGCACGGGGTTGTATATGTATAGAACTTACAGATAACCTATGGAAGGTGTATATATATATATATATATATGCCGGATTATATACAGTATATGCCAATTTCTAGGCCAAGCACGAACGTCCAATGTCGAAAGTCCCTTTTGGCCAGGTCTGAGAACCTCGTTGTGAAAGACTTAGTCTGGCAGGTGCCCGGTTCAGCTGACGAACTTGGCACAATTCGTGACAACAATTGGGACACTTGGCACAATTGTTTTCAGCATCTACCAAACTGAGATAGCTGAAGCCACTACCTGCAATCCTAAATAGACTGCCGGCTCCAGTCAAGTGAGATACAACTACCGGGTCCCTCTCTTGTCCGAGTCGTCCCAGGCGGCTGTTCATGCAGTGTCTAAGCACGAATTGTCCAGCAGGGTGCTGGCTACAACGCACACAGCTTTCAAACATCCACAAGGAGCCCCTTCAAAGGCTTGGGGCATGTGGACTTGCTGTGGTGTGGGAATGAGCTTCCTGCTCACCCCCCACTGACACATCTTTGGAGGGAAACAGCTCGTGTGTCTAATCATCATCCTCCAGCTGCAAGCATGTCCACCAGTGAGTCAAATCACGTCTGCCTTCCTCAGGCACAACAAAAACATGTCAACGCAGAGCTTCAGTGATTACAGTAAGCAGGTCATGTGCTGTTAGCTTTCACTCATCCTGGCCTTGAAATCGAGCATGAGTGCATGAAAGCGGACATAGTCTACGGCAGCCGCAAGGTACTCCTTAGCAGCGCTTTGGCTCGCCTGCTGTAACCGTTAACTCTACAGCTAATGCCGTACAAAAGGGCCGCTGGAAATCACCAGCCGGGGTCCACATTGGATGTTTTGTCTAGCCTTTTGCTTGCACATGAATTTCACAACCAGCCGCAGCTCAGGCACAAAGTACTGGAACTTGGAGTTTCCTTCATTCCGCTTGCGGAAACCTGCATACCCCACCGAGGGCTTGAAAAGGAGCATGTCTGACAATCAAGCTGGCAAATATGCCACAGCTATGCCTTATTTGATTCTACATGAAGTTTCTTGGATTTTCAGCACCTCCCACTTGGCTTTGGGACACCGAGCGCCCAACCCTGCCACTATGCTTTTCTTACCCTACCTCGAAAGCCTGGCCCAAGAATCTCCCAGTCTCCTTGGCCAGGACACATTCTTCCACCGCCTGTTCCGCTGTGACCCCTTCGCGGTGGAGAAACTCATCCGTCCTCTTGCGCATCATCGCCTCATACTCCTGGTGGGATGGGGGGGCCTAAGCGATGGTGGCCAACATGGGATGGCATGGTCATGTGGCTGTGGGTCTCGCTTGGCCCGTGAGAACGGTTTTGGCCAACACCGTCAGTCAGTCCTGAAAAAGGTCGTACCAATCATGCGGGTGATCCTCAGTCACAAATGTCCAAGTTCACTGAGCCAGAAACACGGACCGCACGGGCTACTAGCCGCTGGCCTCCGTCGCCTGAGTGCGAAGCCGGCATTTTCGGAGTGTGCACTGTACAACTGCGGTCTCTAAAAGGAAGACAGGAAGCATGCTGTAGGCTCCTGCGGCCGAGCATTCCTTTGTCCAGCATTGTGCTGGACATGAATTCGTGGAGATGGACTCCAACCTTAAGCAGCCACATCGGATCGCGTCGTCATGAGCTTACATTGTATGGGAGGGACTCCATCCTTCACATGTACCTCTTTCACACCAACAGTTTGCAAGCCCAGTCTGGCATAGAAGCCTTCTGCCAGCAGCGACGAGCAGCAGTCAAAGTCCAAAACACCAACCTCTCTCCCTTGCATCTGAATGGCTTCGAAGATACTTTTCCCAAGGCCTCTCCCCGCCCAGCCAGGGTGCACCGCAAACTGCCGTAAGTGGCTCAAACCTTCCAATTCTTCTGTGTCTCCAGAGTCAGGCCCCACTGAGGACCACCCGCCACACGCCACAACTGTGCCTTGATCATCCGTAGCAACGAACAACCTCCCAGACTCAAGCAGTTTCTGGTCAGTGTTGACAATATGTGGCAAAAAGGCATCCAGCTCCTCATCCTGATACACACCACGCAACAGCACTGAGTACGAAGCGTGCAAAACACGGTCAATCCCTGGTACGTCGCTGGAACCCGCCGGGCGGACCGAAAGATCCGTTTTGCCCATCGAGGTCGATCGACCAAAACACGTGTTTGGAAGCTGCAAGGGAGCCTTGGGCCTGAAGCGGCTGGTAGGAAACATACCTGAAACGAAGCGGTTTTATTTCTAACTATATTAGACTAATATTATATAGTAACTGGTGTCATCTCCATCTCACAGCACAAGTTCAAGACAGGGCATGGCGTTCCTAATGGATGACTGGTTCCTCACTTTGCTGCAGCACTTGCTGCAGCTGAAGCTCATGCCGTGGAGAGCATGGGTGGCCAACATCTTCAAACTTGTGCGCATGGCGCTGCGCAAATCCGTTGAGCTCCATCAAGCAAGATGCTGACAACAAATAGTCTTCAAGTCCTGAGATACATCTTCTCCATCTGGTGGTATGTTTCTATACATGCCCTGAACTGCGTTTTTTTGCAATGCTTGGCTGCGGCTCTGTTGCTCCAGCTCCTACAAAATAGAATACGTTTGCTCGCAACGTCGTAGTGGACTTCTGAACTTCTACCCGGTTCTACCCCCCATGTTTGCAACCATCACAGCGGAAACCTCATGCTTTACATCCAAACTCACTTTTCTGGGCCAAGGAGATTTCAACGACGTGCAAACATCCGAAACTTTGAATAAATCCAGGAGGCGGTAGGCAAGCGAGCCATCGTTGCTCGGCCCAGGGGGGTGTGAATGCGCGTGAAGGTCCAGCTCCATTGGTGAAATATGAGGCTTGATCCAAGGCTGCCCACTACAAGTACCAAAAAGAAACAGAAAGTACAAGCAAGAAAGCACAACGTCTTCCACCTCGGCCAAAACAAACACGACCTGTGGACGTGCCCATGGTCCATGGTGAAGATTCTCAAACGCACCACACCAAAGCCAAACATTGCGGGCTCACGACCGGTGCAACCTCTCTTGGCCGAAGCAAACACACGTCACAGCAGACTCTGAGTCCTCGAGCGGCCACGGCCACGGACGAACACGCCAAAACCCACAGAGATTGAGAGAAAAAAAACTATATAGTCTGGTCATGTCTGGTTGGTTCGTTGAGCCAGAGCACATTTTGATGCACACCGTGCACACCCCATAATGTACTGATATTGTAGGTTTGTCAGCTGGTCCTGCAATTCCTGAACTGGACGCAAGTCCGCGTTGGGGTCCGCTTCACGTCTGGCCTGGCGCATGGTAGCACAAAATAGCGGCCCTTTTTCCGGAAGACTAGATCAAAAGAACTGGCTAACCTTTGATTTTCGCTGCATTCGTTGAGGTCCCCAGTCATGCACGGTGACCTGCTTATCTTAGGTTGAAGGGACCCGTAGGGAATATGTTGAAATGTTATCCTCTTTACTGATACTTGTTGACTCCCTTGCCCCTGACTACTCCACTTCGATGACTGCCTTTGGAAAGGCATCGCGGCTTGCAGAACCCACTTCCCGCAAGCAGCATCACGGTTGCCCCCAGTGTGCCTGTTTCATGGCTTTCGTGCCCTTCAGTGATGGACGCAACACGCCACCGACCTGGCAAGGCTGGGCCGGTTCGCCCCCATCGGAAGGCATTGTGGTGTGATGCCACATGATGTTGCCACAGTGCCCTCGGCCTTTCCACCTCGTTCTGGTGGGCCACCAAACCAAGACCTTGCCATGTCAATGTGGTGTGAACACCAAAAAGTGAGGGCTCACTGCAGGTGCAGAAACACCGTGGTATGGTTCCTGTCTCATCGAGCCCTGGAACTAAAGCACCTGTCCGGACAAAATGGACAAACCACGTGGTCATCCCTCTTGACATCTGTGGATGGCCACTCCCTCTTTTTGGCATTTGCTGCGTGGAAGCAACTGACGATTCCTTTCGGCCTTGTCGCAACAATAGGTGTTTTTTCTCCATGTTCAATGTTTGAAACTATCACTATCACCATATGGAGCCACTCAACGAGTCCTCCATCGAACTGTTAAACGGGGGTGTTGCTAATCCGAACAAAAGTGGGTCAACCCTGTGGCTTCACCGAGTCCACCCCTGTCTGGTCTGAGGGCCGGCTTCACAGAGTCAAACGCAGTTGCAATAGAGCTTCGGCGTTGCCTTGGCGTTCGTGCAGGCTCAAATATGCCAAGATTGCCAAGATGCTGGGAGCTGAGAAGTCTTGAGTGTGGTGTTTTGAGGCGGCTAGGTCCCCTTCCCATCATCACCCACATCAGCAGGAGTTCCTCCGTGGGGGAAGCCAAGCTGACCACCCCAAACGTTACTATCAGGATGTGTTCTTTCTTTGGCTCCTGCTCCACCTTCGGCAGGTTCTTGCTCCTCCTGGCTTGCCGCAAACCTTCGTGCCAGGACTAGTCGAAGTCAGCTAAAGTGACCTTCTCCTGAGTCTTGTCTTTACTACCCAGTGATATGAGTACAGTGGTTTGGCCTCACAGCTTCAGACAGCGATGTGCCCTCCACCGAGTATGCCTCAAGCTGTGTCCATTGCAAGAACCCATCGAATTGTCAAGAGCGATTGCCAGTCGCAGGGTTCCAAATCTCAAGAACAATTCCCTGCCTGGAGTTGTGTAGCTTTGTCATGGGCCTCTCGCAAATTGACCTGACGCCATCAGTTGCAAAACAATGTTCTAGGCCTGGATGTTCCAGCTCAAAGGGTCCAGGCTTTGAGCAAGCTATCGAATCAAATGATGTTTTGCTGCCAGAAATGTCCTGCCCTGCCCTGGAGAAGTCCTAAAACTTAGGAAGCCGGCCAGCCCCTCCTTACCGCGGCTGACATCCTTAGCGGTGAACATCATAGCATATTCCTCCAACTTTCTCCAATTTGCTACTAAGAGGTGGACATACTTGTTGGCAAAAAGCACCACATTCGCTCCAGCCTGGCTCTGTGCAGCTGTGCATCCTGTTTCCTGTACAAGGCCTTCTCGTCCAAGCCTGCCGTGCTTCCGCCATCAGCGTCAAGGCCTTCTCATAGGACCTCGGAAAGGCACCGGAAACGACATGAGTTGAAGCCAGAAACATCACCGCGCAAAGCAACATCACTGGCTTTAAGTAGCATCACGTGGCAGAATGGTAATCGACTCTAGGACTCTATTTGACTCTATATCTATATCTCTCTCGATCGGTGATCTTTGACCCGCCTACCTAATCAGACCCATCTAGTCACGTGTCGTGCCTGAGGTCAGCAAGGCTGTAAATAACGAAGACCCATTGTGTTCGAGCAAACCACTCCTATCAGCCAAGAAATTCTGCACCGATCCGTGAAGACTCCAAGGCAAGGCAAAAACACATGGAAGGCGGTTCACTCTCTCAACTTTGCGGTCTCTCTTTGCAACCCAGCACAAACTCAGGTCTTCCATGGTCTGCCCGACCTGTCCTACCTGCCCAACCTCTCAGGTCTCTCAGGTGCGCCTTCACCAAATGCCCTGCACGGTCATTGCCCGAACAGTCCAGGAACTTCAGCGCTCGCGAGCCGATCTGGCAGAGCGTGAAACGGAAGAATCACGTCGGAGCGTGTCGAAGGCCTGAAATCTCATGGCAATGCATAACCCAAGAAATTTGGAGCTCACCTGGATCTGATGATGCATCATCAAGTTGCTCCTGCAAAGGAAAATTATCTGGAGCGACGAGTTATCCCCGCGGGCTGCATTTGCAACTAAAGCTGTCTTGTTTTTTGAGTGATTTTGTGTAAAAGCCTCGCCTTTGATCCTCGAAGTTTTGCATTGCTGGTGGGTCATGTTCCTGCCACTGCAGGGGCTTCGACTCACCATGTGCCATCGTCTCACCTGTCGTACTGTGACTTGGCCTTGATCAATTCACCCAGCATGGTCGTTTTGCCTGTTCCAGTTGCGCCAACCTGGGCACTATCCTTCTTCGAAGGATATGAAAAACACGACCACCCGTGAACGAAAATGACAAGCTCTGGAGGAGCGCCCTCACTTTTCCACCTCTCATCGAATCTCAGTGGCCAGTGATGAAGAATCTGCCGGACACTCATTCGAAGTCCATGAGAGGAGGCGAACTTTGGCCTTTTCGGGGCCGGTATCACAGGCCAACACCTCCAAAGGCTAAAGCAGCACAGCCAAGGGTTTAGAACAAGAACCCCCCACTCACGGCAGTTCTCGCATACATCTAGCTCTCATTTCTCTCAACTAATTTGAGCCATGCCTCTGAATCCTGTGGAAGGGCGCCATCAGGATCGGCCTATGAGCCCAGTGCAAGGACTAGGAGGTCTGATGGGAGTGTGCCCCTCAACGTGTGAAAGCGCCCCGAATGCACGGTGATTCAAAAAGCTCCAAGTCAGGTTGCACATGTGGATCATGAAATGGTGGATGGTTTCATGCCCTAGCAATTCGAGCGACATATTTCAAACGAGTGCTTCATGGGAAAAAATATGGTGCAGTCGGCGAATCGGTGCGAATTACTCCACAAAAATCACAAAGAAAAGAGCTACAGAAAAAAGTTGTAAATAGGCATTGCAACCCAGAAGCCAAGTGGTCTCCTGTCGTCGCATCGCATCTTAAGCTTTACTGCAGTTGAAACCTCCGTGCAGGTGGCTTCTGTGATGGCTTGTTGCTATGAAACCAACAACACCTCTCGGAAACCACAGTCACATTCTTACGCGCAGCTGCTTGGCTGCAGCTTAAGCACAGCAGAGTCCATGCAGATGTCAATGCTGCCACCAGCACAAAGGTCGGCAGCGACCAAAGCAGCACACTGCGAACACCTGCGACCCGCCATGGCCCGACGGTCAGCGTCACAATGAGGAACCCGAGGTCAACATGTGCAAAGTGAGGCCCCGAACGGTGCTGAGGCCCCGAGCTGAATGCACGCTTGCTGTTTCGCATGAGTTCATCAGGCATGGGCACATTGAGCACCATGTTTGAGGAAATGACAATCTTGGCCGCAACAGCAAGGTGGAGGAGAGAAACAAACAACAACCTGCATCCAAGCAATGAGGCACATTGAGGCACAGTGCCACAATCTAGTACATGTTGTCCCCTCAAAGAAGCCAAGAGACCAGAAGAAGAAGCTGCCTCACGTGTTTTGCAAATACCCCACAAAGTGTTGTGGCTTTCCAAAAAAGATCATGTTGCCTCTGTTTTTGTGTGGGACAAACCTTTCGGTCCTATGCCCCTTAGCACTGCCAGGCATAGCACCGTGAGGAGAGCTGGCCATATTCATTGTCCAAAGCCAAAGCCGCATTTGCCACCAGTAACCCTGGCCGGCCGTTTCCGCTTTTGTGTCCCTTTCCGCGTTCTTCCAACTTCCCCACCTGCTGGGGTGGGTGAAATACAAGCCGCCGCAAGCTGGGCAATGAAGGACAACAGCATCAACTGCACCGGAAGTCCTGGCGAACCGGCCACGACAATCATGAAACCCGGCAGGTTCAGGAGGAGTCGGGGATGTTTCTGTGCAGGATTCCACCTCCAATTGCACGAATCTGAACGATCACCTTGGCCAAAGCTCCTTGCAAGCCTCAGCTACGGTGACCACGGAGAAGGAAAAACCACGAAAGAACTATGAGAGAAGCATGTGGGACTATGACCTACTGAGACCACGTAAGTGGTCGCAAATCACTCACATCCCATTCCATGGCCTGTTCGTCGCAGGGCCGTGGCCACCCCTTCACCCAGGCCAATTGTCAAGCAGGAGTTCCAGTCGAGGACTTCCTCAGCAATGCGCAGCGCAAACTGGAAGTTCACGGTTAGCCCACGGCGAGTCCAGCAGCAACAGTTAGGGGCTACTCTCGTTTCAGCAGGTTGGACCGTCTGGGCACCATATAGGGGAGGCATCGGCAGTTTTTGATTTCAGGCCTAGCGCCTACACTCCACTTTCTGCTTTGAAGCTGTTCTGAGTCAGGTCGCCAGACTTGCACCACTTCTTTCGTCTCGCGTCTCGCGTCTCGTCTGATTGGTCTCAACTACATTTGCCGTTCCTTCCGGCCTGAAATCGCACTTGGGTGACCGGCGCTGGACGAGTGTCGGAGACTTGGTCAGGTTTCACACCGGAGGTGATGAAGAGCATGCCAGCGATCACCATGGTGCTCACCAAGATGTTGCATCTGGCTGTGGGGGCAGGGGACGGTTGAAAAACGACGCTTCTGCAAACAAGCCTAAACGTCTCCTCAAGTTTCTTGAGGTTTCTCTCGCGTCATAAGCAGCCAAGAAAGCCAGCACAAGTCAAACAAGAACACAAGACAAGCATGCGTCGGATGTGTATGAATGTATCAGCTGGGTGTGTTGCTAGTTGCGTCACTGCGTCCAACCCCTACAAGAGTGCCCCGCTGATCACTGGCGCATGCCTGGCCTCTTCTGCAAGTCCTCACCCAGCATTGCAAGCTTTAGCTACATGATCAATTTCAAGAGGCAAATCTGAAAATACTAGAAACACCACAAGCAACGTCGCTGAGGATGCAAAAAGAAACCTCTTCCACCCCGGTCCAGGAAAAGGGCCACAACAAGGCCAAGGACTGCCATGATGCCACGCCTCACGAGGCGGCACGAGGCTGGGTCACATGCTGCCAGGTGCTAAAGTTTGGCTCTTGTCCCATACAGCATATCCAAGGGGCCACATATCAGTTGACCGACCGTGGCGAGGGGCCTCAGAGGTGGCATCACTTTTTCTGGCCACCGCACACCCTCTTACTCAAGGTTGTTGAAGCCTTTTTGGCCTGATTTGTCCAGCTTCTGTTATACGGTTATACGCCTTTATTTTGGCAGGCCACTGCCCTTTCTTGCCAGGACACTTGGGATTTTGGCACCAAGCCCGATATCAAGAATAAGCGTTTGGCCGTTTGGAGTGAAGGAAACTCCTGGAGATGGTGGACACTTCAAGCTCGCGCTTGCGATGACCTATTGCCTGATATATGTTTCGACATCTCAGACAGCGCTCCCCAAAGGCATCGATGAGCATCACGTCACCCGCTTGGAGCAAATCGTGCGGAGACAGTGGTTGGGCTCGAACTTGGTCGCCCTGCCAGAAGTCAGGATGCAGGAGTTACTGTCCAAGTCTGTCCAAGCCATCAGGCTTCCAGACCAATACAGTATATAGAGAGAGAGAGAGGCAAACAAACTGACCGAACCACACACTTCAATCCAAAAACTGAGTCGAATTGAAATCCCCTCCAACCTCCCGGCGGCACGCAGCCAAGGGATAGCCGCGAAACATCCGCACGCACCAGGGAATCTCCTCCGTTTGGATAGCTGGAACAGGAGCAAAGAAGTGTGGTGACTGGAGCATCATGCTGGGGAGATGCCTTGCACTTGTGCTCCGCTTTTCAATGATGTTTTAGAGTGGGTCAAAGTGTAAGGTGATCTTCGGAAACTTTACGGCTTTCTTCGGACACTCTTCGTCGGAAACTCATCTTCCGAAACACTACGGTTCGTTCGGAAACTACGGAGAGTCGAAGAGCAACATCAAGCCTGCACGACAAAGTGTCCGCAGATCGCAAGATAGGCATGTATATACCGTAGCCGTCACAAGGTATATATGTCAACAACCCACCCACCCAGTGCTCCTTCAATATTGCAAAAGTTCTGAAGAATACGTTTTAAAGCATGCAAATAAGTGTTTGAAGATCGCGGAAATAGTTTCTGAAGATCGCGAAACAGTTTCTGAAGATTGCGATATAGTTCCTGCAGATCGCCAAATAGTTTCTGAAGATCGCGAACTAATTTCTGAATAGTTTCTGAAGAATAGGTTCTGAAGAGTAGTTGCGGAAAAGTACCAAATAGTTGCGGAAGAAAAGTTTCAGAAGAATGGAGAGTTGCGGAAAGGACTTTTTTAATTTAGAGTGAGTCATGGTGAGTCTATGGCCCACAAATGCGAGCACCCTGCGTCTGAGGTGCCAAGATCTCAGGGGCTGGCGTAGCTTCTGACATGCTCGGCAGCCCCAGCAGCTCCTCGCAATGCAATCAAGCAAACCCTTGACAAGGATCAAAGTCTTGCCCCTTTCAACAGGCCTTGCATCCTTTTCCTCCCTCGCTCGCTCGCTCGCTTGGCTTCTTGTGATGACCTTTCAAAGCATTCCCGCCTCCAGGCTTCTTCCAATCACCTCACTGCCTCTTGCAATCACCTTGGAGCTATCTAATGGAGCCATGGCACCATTGGCACCATCAAAGAGCTGAAGCTGGTATGGAAATGTCAAGCCACGCTTTCGTACAGGCGTCTCTCGTGGCGTCGTCCACCCAGAGCCTGATGGCAGTGCAGTCCTGGAAGGCTGGATGAAAGGGATCTGTGACATGGCAGGTGAGAAGGCTGGACAGAGGTCACCCACATTTCCACACCTAAAGTCCTGGTGCATAGAAATCCCTAAATCTTCTGCGATGAAAAGGAGAAACCTTCACACGGGAGAATTCCTTCCCAGAGGTATTGAAACTCGGTCCTCTCATCACAAAGACCCCAGGATATCGGCGCATCGCCACAACGCCAGCTGCTGAGCATCCTCGAAACATCGAGCGACGAGGACGAGGACATTCATGCAGACATGTGAACCGCACATGGTGCAGAAACATGAGCTGATCTTTGTTGTATGCCAGGAGCAAAGGACGCTACTAGGGGCTCCTGGCATCGCTACCAGGAGCAAGGACTACTAGGGATCCATGTTAGAAGTGCATGGGCCAAGAGTCGGGTCGCAATCAGGTCCCCGGAGTCCAAGACCCATTCATCCAACGTGCCCTCCGCCGACCGGAAGGCTGGACTATCTGTGGCGCTATTGAGAAGCCTGAATCAGGACACACCACGGTGACACACACACACACACATACACTGACTTGCATTGTATCCATGTCATTCCATTTCCATGTTTGCTTCTTGCAGTGGCACGCCTCAAGCCTCAAAGCCAACCGGAACACTTGATCATTGCAGGGCCAAAGGGTGGACCAGGATTGAAAACACAGACGTTCTTTGCTGAACTGCATTCACAAATCCATTGGTGCCACCACAGTAGTAGATTTGACACCAACCTTCACTTCCGCGCGGAGGGCGGTCGTGTGCACCTTGAGATTCTCTGAATTGCCACTTCCTTCAGATTCATAAAGCCGGCAGAGCGGGGGGTGTGCCCACAAATCAGAGATCCCGCCACAATCACGAAATCAAGCTCCTTGGCCGTGGCCGAACCAAACTCGCACTGAAAACCTGCTCCTCACTTGCCCTATGTCAAGTGGTCTGACCACCTCAACTCCTCAACTCAGCCCACGGCATAGGGAAGTAGGTCCTGAGGAGTTCGACGACACAATGACTTCGAAGCCACCAAGCTGCATGTTTACATCTCCGGGGTGATTGCTGATGCTCAATGGAGCGTCCCCCTCTACAAGCCTTTACCTCAGGCCTCGGGTGCCACACATACCTCCCACTGAGCAGTTGCAAAAAGGATTTTCCATGATTTTCCGATCGATTTTCCTCCTTTCGAGGTCACCCAGGCACCAAACCCCTCGACCGCTCCGATTCAGACAGCTTGCCAGGTCAGAGACCTCCGATTCAGAGGCATCAGCACCAGAGAGCACCTCGTTTGCTGAGCAAAAACGGCTCAACAAGGGCTGGTCATGGTGTCATGGTGTCGTCGTGGTGTCATCTTCTAAGCCTAAGCTATCGCCAACATGTTTGTCCCATGGTCCCTGGCTGTTTTTGGTGCTTGTCATTGATGCTGCCATTGGCAGATGTCACAGGATAGAAGAAGGGTAGCAAAATGTTGTAAATGGGGTTGGGTACTTGCTGGAGCCTGGAGGAGTATATACCTTTTTTTGGTCGGTGCCGGATGCCGACTGCCGTGGCGGATGCCGAGCGCCATGCCGGATGGCGGGTGGCTCGGGTGGCGGGGCTGGATGCCAGATGTTGGGGGTCGGGTGCAGGTTGCGAAACCTTAGAGAACCAAGCCCCAAGAAACCTTGGAGAAGCGAACTCCACAAGAAAAGCCCAAAGGAACCCTAAAGAGGCAAACCCCGCAAGCCAAAGCCCAAAGAAACACGAAAAGTGATATCGGCAAGCCAAACGCAAAGAACCCTAATCAAGCAGTGAGAACCCGCAAGCCAACCAAAAGAAATGCCATGCATTCTCCATACAGTAATTACCCAATCCAGTCAGGTGAATGCAACCTCCTTCAGGTCCTTGGGCCACCAGGGGCACGGACATCCATGGAGCAGGTCCTTCTCTGGGATCATCTCTCCCCAACACACCGCCAGGCGTCGCGAGGCGCCGCAAGACGTCGCAGCACGGCCTCTGGCATCTCCAACCGGCAGCTCGTAAGCTCAGGATCGCTAAAGCCAGTGCGCCGCTGGGCCTCACCGTCTGAAAACAGGAGTGCACCTCCGGTGCACTCCGAACCAACTGAGTTGGGCGGTATTCATCATGGCCCGATCTGGGTCAAAACTCCCGACTCTTTCATTGGCAAAAGGTCTGAAACGATCTTGGCATCTGCCGATTTGAAACCGCAAGGGTTCGATCCTGTGCCTGTGGGAGTCGGGGCTGCTGATCCTTCCTGGAGAGCACCTCCCCAATCATCACCACATAGAGGCCCAGGATCGCTGCATTGGTCAAGGCCTCGTGGCTCGAAGCCGCCCACGGTGGAGAGTCGGCACTCGGTCCGTTTCCGCCGATGCCGCGTCCGAGCCGAGTGGCGAGAAAGGCCTGGGACTTCAGCTCACAGCCGGTGTCAGAGTTACATCTCAGTCGCACAGCACACAGCACAAATGGAAGCACGGTGGACTCTGACCCCTTCCTTCTTGACCTGCTCTGACCACATGCTATGGGTCATACGTATGCACGCGTCATATGCATGTGTGCATTTCACAAACAGAAGCAATGTGTCTAGCTAGCACTCAGATTCTTGCCAAGCCGGACTCGCGCTCACTTTTGCTACCGGACCAGGCGGCATAATGTCGCGAATGGCAATGGAAGAAGGGCTGCTGGTCACGAAGACCGAATTTCCACAAGTCGCCGCTACGACCATCATCCTTGGCAGGTTCTCTCCAGCAACTTTTGCAGGGGATAGGCCGTCAAGGGGGCAAGGCAAGAAGAAGATAAGTGTGTGAAAGGCAAGTGTGTGAAACAGCTCCTGGATTCTTAGGGAAACCAAGTGTTGAGACATCGGTGCCCACACAGCTTTGGAAGCCTACAGCATATACAGCACATCATGCATATCTAGAGAAGCATGCCCAGGGTCAGCAGCAAAGGCCGCAATTGAAAGCTGTGGCTTTTTGCCCATTGAATGATCACCGGCGTTCCAACAGTAATGGTGGTGGTCGCGCCAACGAAAGCCTGCGCATATCAGCACCGCGAACACTGGCAATGACTGGGTGAGCATCTCAATTCACTCTCAAAATGGACAGAGCGACAAACGAGCCAACCGCCAACATGTCCGTGTTTGATCGTTTTTGTTTCTACATTTCTACGCAAAGCTGCCAATCTTATGGACGCAGCATGCAACATTTTGACTTCCAGCCACTTCTGTCAAGCAACTCCCATACACAAAGTAGCCAAATAAAGCCGGGCTCGTGGAAACGTCCCTGCACTGCTGGCAGTTCTGAGCGAGAACCAACAAACTTGATAGCACCGGCGTTGGCATTTCGCAGTTTCTCTCATGCTTGCAGAACTGGGGAATATGCTTTGAACACGGAGCTGGTGTCCATCTTAGAGAGTGTGGCCAAGGCACACTCTTCTCTGTGTTGGCCACCCAACATCCGCAGAAGGGAAAACTCGAGTATTCCTCCCATCTGCATCTGAAGAAACTGAGGGAAAACTTGCCCAAGCAGGGAAGAACTATTGAACACCATGAGCGGCATGAGCACTTCTCCTGAATCGTGAATACCACAAATGATCACGAACTGCAGCTGAGGCAGCCAAGGGCCTAGCCTTGGAAATACTTAGCAAGCAGTGAGAACAGCTCCTCCCAAAGACAGATTTTGTCTTTTGCAAGGCAGTTGAGCCAAGAGGCCGCCTGAAGCCTTGCACGATGTCATTGTGACCCACAATGCCGAAGATGGCCAGGACCGCCAGGTAGCCGGCAAACCTCAAAGAAACGAGTCTGATGACAAATCCATGCAAATCCTTGCAATTCTCAAACTACAGAACTGCTCCCTAAATCGGGTCATGGGTCATAATCCATCACAATCTACAGCATCGTCTCTAAAGGGCCAGCCCAGCAGCACGAAGGAAGATCGCACGCCGTTCAGCAGCTGGGTCAGGCCGAAGACCAAAGTAATCAGAGTCGCATAAGCCGTTTGAGCTGGGTACTTCAATTTTAGGTCGGGATTGCTGCGCAGGCAGGGTGGATGGAGGCAGATTTCCAGCAAGACCTAAGGCGAAGCCAATGATTTGTGTGCAGACCGACGCGGAAATTGCAGAGGTAAACAACTAGCAACGCAAGATTTGTGAAACCGACACTGCTGCAATCTCCCACTGCTGACTTCTCAGGAGCTGGCACAAAAGAGCACGAACAAGAGGTTCACTGCAATCAGCCAGCGTGGAAATAATGTGGAACACTTGTCCTCAAAAAACAATCCCCAAACCCAGAGCTGCAAGATTGCAATGCCTTTGGACATGAATCAATTGAAACCACCTGGTGCTCCCAATGTAAGACAGCAGCAAGCTTTGTCAAAAACATGACTCCCAATCGTTGTTAGACAAGAGAATCTGCATGAATGGACTTTGGAGCGTTGCACCTGTCTGAACACCCCCAATCGACTTCTCGTTGATTGTTGTTGACAAGTTGGGCACACATTCGACACCATAAGGGGCAAGCAGGGCTCAGCAAAGCTGCAGCCAGGCCGCCCTCTTCTGCTCATTGGCAGCTGTCGGGCTTTGCAAGGTCTGCGTTTGAAGGAGGCGGAAGGCGTGGAGTAGTTCTGCCTGGTTCAGCGGAGGGAAGGCAGCACAAATGGCACCGGTTCTGTGCACGAAAAGGCCGCCTCCTTGGAGTTGTCGGACTCCAATCCATCAGCCATACATAGGTACTCAACGAGGGTTTGAAATAGGTCGCTGTTTCGTGCCAGGTTCAACACCCTTCCGCTTCTTGCGGGGTTCCTTACAACATCACCTGCATGATATGCAACTCTCTGCGCTCATGAAGTGAACTTCGCAAACCAACGACGCTCAAGCCCAAATGGCCCCCAACGAAAAGACACATGCCCACTAGCCCAAGCTGGCTAGTGGAAAAGCATCACATCCCACTTCCCCCTGTCTTTTGAGCCTTTTCCCCTGTGAGTTCTATGTGCAGGGCCAGCTGAATGAACACATTGCGATGCCCACGGCTGCCGCCACTGCGGACAGGTGCCACGGTACCTCGGAGAGACGGCACATCGGTGCGGCGAGACCGCTCAGCATTTTTTTTGTTTTAATCTATGTTCAGTGAGATTTTCAGTGGGTTTAATCAATTTTCAATGCAGGTGCATTTTCATGTGTACCCACTTTCCCGGGTTGTGGCAGGGGTGCAGGGGCAATTTGCATTTGCATTATCACCCGTCAAGATCAAACGACTGCTCTTGCACACTCGATTCCGGAAACTGGAACAGTATAGGCTTGTGGATGACACGACGCTTCGTGTCATTGTAGCAAAACTCTGATCTTACACTCCCCCCAGTCAGGTTGAGGCCTCAATGACACAAATTCCATAAGAAACCCAATCAGGCTGAAGGCTTGCAACATCTCCAAGGTCCAAAAATAATTGCCAAAAAATATACTGTCTGAAAGGTCTTTACCTTTAGAAAAAGGGCCCTTGCCAGCGGCACCTGCACCCACAGACCTCATGAAGACTCAAGCATCAGAAGCGAAGAATTTCCTGAATGTGTTCAGCTGAATGATGTGCAAATTTGGAACAACTGGGCCATCTCACTGCAGCGTGGTGCTCTTCAAGAGCTGCTGATAGTTGGCCTGTTTGAGCGAAGGATGTGTTTCGAAGCAGGATGTATCATCTACATTGCTAAAGTCCTCGGGGAAACCAAACCCTTGCTGCTGGGGGAAGCAGTTGTTCTAGATCTTGCTCTCTGTCTCTAAGTTCAGAGTGATCGCTCCTGACTAAACCAGGCCTCTGCACTCTTCAGAGCCTCTTGCTGCTTCGCATGCGACTCCTGGTGGCTCGACACGTGACAATCAGCATCAAGTGGCGTGAAGCATTTGCAAAATACATGTGTCAAAAATACATAATTTTCCATTTCCATTGACGCATAGTGCTCGACGTCAAGCTCAGCGTCTTGCTGGGCGAATTCGTTAATTGCCTGCAAAAAAGTCCGGTCTGGGTTCGAGGAGCTGCTGATCTTCAAAGGTCAGCACCAAGCTCCTGAGCCATTCTGTCGACTCTGCGAACGCTTCAGTCCGGACCGGCTGTCGGTCCAACCATAGTCGAAAGAGGGAGGCGCCAAAGTGACAAAAAGCTGGCGGATACTCCTTGAGATGACTCGTACGCCACTTCCCTCCTTCTAGACCTATGTTGGACCCCTTGGCACAAGTAGCACTACGCAAAGAACGTTCACAGTGCTGTGCATCGGGGAGCTCAACCCCAGACAACATAAGAGTGGTCGGTTTTGGGCTGTCCGCCCCAAAGTACCCTTGCAACACATCTAAGAAAGCAAAGAGACCAGTCTCTTGAAACCACCTAATGACTTGAGTCATCCAAATAGATGGTGCCTTAGTGTGTCGCGTTCCACTCTTATGCGGATTTCGGGGGTGCTCTAACCACGAAAAACCTCCTGTGAGGGCTTGCAAAAGGACAGCTTTCAAGCAGAAGAGCATCAAAACGTTTCCTATGAAAACTTGCTGACCCTCCCGTTTGGAGAGGCTATCCAAACCCCATAGCTCAGGATCACAGCGAATTGGACGAGGTCCTCGTTGTAGCCCATGCGTAAGTTGTTCCCAACGAGCAATGCTCCAGGATTCACAGGGCGGTCCGCCATACAGCCCGGCGACAGAACCTCCGCGGATCAAATCATGCCACAACTTCTGCTGGTCATCCTTGGAGAGGTCACAGCGGCTCGGGTCGATAGCGACATCAACAGAGACCGCTGTCATCACAACTCCCTCAGGGAGTGGCAGGCTTTCCAGTTCCATTTGGATGTCCCTCTCTCTCCTCCTTCCGCTAAAGAGGTGCAGTATGATCAGTTCCGAAGGCAAAAAACTTCGCAACTTTTGTTCAGTTGCCTTGCAAGTAATTGCTCGTCGACTGGTTTCATCTGTTAGCATGTGGTCCCCATCCTGCACATCATCAAGATGCGTCTGTGTCGCAAGATTCTCAAGCCAACTATGCACTTCGCAGCCTGCTTTGAAGATCCGGGAATCGGTCCTCTCGAAATCCTGTAGCCAGCACCATAATGCAGAACGAATGGTCTCGAATGGAACAGGAACTTTACACGCTGCCTTCAAAGCAAAAATGAGCTCCTCATGGAAATGGCCATCTTGCTCAGGACACAGGAATGTGCGCAATGCCTCTTGTAAACTCTCGCGAACTTTCACAGCATCGCGATTCACAGGCTGTGGACCACTGAAACCCCCTTGCTGCAGGCGATACCACGGAAACTGTGGATGTTGCGACATCGCTGCACCAGAATCTGGCAGGTTCCCTCTGTTCTGTCGAAAGAAAGCTCTGCACTCAGCACTATATCGCAAGTGATGTCTCAAGCGCTCTTTCGTCAGATAAACCTTTGCACAGCAATGACATGTCTGTCCCTGTACAACCTCGCTGGATTCACTAATGTAGCCGTGCTTCTGACATGCATGTAAGAACCATCGTTGAGTTGCCGAAAAAACCTTCTCACAGATCACACAAATATGATGGCTATGCCGGGTCTTCACCAAGGAATCTGTGAGCTCATGATGCTTCAGAATGTCAAAGATAGCTCGATGAGCTTTTGTAGTGGCTGCATTGCGTAGCCTGGCTTGTGTTGCCCGATACAGCGCTGTTCGGCCGTATCGGGCCCATTGGGCTGGTTGTGCTGCTAAATTCTGCCAGGCTTCCCCATCGAGGACATCTCTTACCGGTGAATCCCGGCCCAAAAGAGAATACGCCCAAGCCAGGGCTTTGTGATACATGTGCATCGCACTTTCATCTTCTGCAATTAAGGACCACAAGATACTCGGGGCAGTTCGCAGCAATGCTCCAAAATGACGAAATTGAGCAACCCTTAGCAGATCCTCAGGATCTTCACAATTGAGGTAGCATCGGATCTCATCTCGGGATGGTGCTACAATGGACCTAGGCAACATCATAACATACAGATTCCAGACCGAAGTGATGAAAGCCTGGTGCTCACGGTGGTTCAATTCAACCCAGGCTCCAACCCCCCAAGTCATTATGGAAAGTACTGTCGACTTGAGGATCATCATGCGCGTTTCCAAAGGCACTCGCCTCTGTCGGAAAACGTGCTTGGCAGCCCGCCAGAAGGCTGCTCGTGCCTTAGAAAACCTAGTTCGGATTTCTGGTAACATGCTTCCACTGGCATCAACAAGACCCCCTAAGTGACGATATTTTGAGACCAATGGGAGTTGTATCAACTCATCGTCCAGCAGCGCTGGAAAGACTGCTTTGGTCGAAGAGAACAAGCGTCGACGAAGAGCGACGGCTCCTGGTCCCCTCGGTGATACTACAGCAGCAGTCTTCGTTTCACCGATGGATACCTTCATTCCGTATTTATGCGGTCGTTGCAGCAGAACATAGGAAATCAGCGCCAGGCGACTCTCAACTTGTGTAGCCCTATCGAATTCGGCTAAAATGGCCAAGTCGTCTGCCCACGTCACCTGAAACATCGGTAGTACATGTTCTGTTGGAGCATTTGTATACGGGTTTCGGTCACTACGAGCGCAGACATACAAAATCAACCCATTGGCTTCAAGCTCTTTTTGAACCTCGGACAAAACCTGCGAGAAAACCAAATTGAAAACGATGTCCGCTAACGAGTCACCCGGCCGGGTGCCTCGATGAGTCTGAATGAACTCATGGCCCGTATAGGTAAAATGCGTGCCTTCCAAAGTTTCTTGGAGTACCTGATGTTGCACCGGTCCAGCTCCTAGCTCTTGATATGCGCATTTCTGATGTATGCAATCATGGATGAGTGACATGGACTCGGGGCCTAGGCCCATCCTATGCAGTACTAAAGCAAGATCTTCATCTGTCAGGTGCGCTCCTGTCGCTATCTGTCTCAGAACACGGTAGTACGCAGATTGTACGTCGCAAAAAAGGATGGCTGTACTAATCTGCTTTCGTTTGCCTCGGTCTACAAAAAGGCGCGAGACCTGTGTTCCAAACAGGACCTGCTGCATGGGCTTGCCACCCAATTGCAAGTCATCAGTGGCTACCAGGTATGGCTCATTCAATCTAGTACGAATAGAGGAACGGATGGCTTTTCCTAACACCGAGGTGAGTAAAATGCCTCGATGATTTTGACAGTCAGAATGCTGCCCTTTACCTTTGAATAGGGAGAAGGTTTGTCCCCCTTTCCACTGGAGTGGCTCCTCCAAGCGACAAATCATCTTGAGCAGAATCGGATAGAGCACTGTTGCCGCATCACCCGGGCTAACTTTCAAAAGTTCGTTTGGAAGGCGATCTGGCCCAGGCGCTTTTCGGTAGCGCATCTTCCGAATAGCTTTCTCAAGCTCAAGACGACTCGGCAAGTCCTCAAGTAGGTACTCAGCCGGCTTGCAGGTGTCTTGCTGTCTCTGCAACATGCGGCACACAAAGTCAGCGACATCCACTTCTTTCCCAGCCTCTAGTTGAGCAAAGTGTCGGATCCATCTGGCATTCACTTCCTCAATGGATTCCAGAGTCACCCCATCTTCATCCTGTAACACAGGAAGCGGCCTTGGAAAGGTCGTTTGCTTTTTGGATGGCTTAAGAACAGGCCTGAGGGCAGCAAAGACTTCATTTGGTTTGGAGTTCCTGGCATCTTCCGCAACCCCCACAATAAAGGACTTACGATCGAGCCGAAGCTGTTTGCGGAACTGACAGGAGACACTTTTCAGTTCCCGCGCTTGTCTGGCCATCGCCAATGAGAGCAGTTTACTCCACTCCTGATCGGCATCTCGAAAACCCTTGCCTTTTTTCCAGGCTCTCCAGGCTCGAAAAACTGCAATGCACAGGGCAAAATTGTCATGCTTCTTAAGAGTACATAGTGCTCGCCGAAGACGTGTCATTCGTCGGTGGAGTTCCTTGCTGATTGGTGAGACATGTTCTCTATGCTGCCTTCCTGACTGCTTGGGGAAAAGCCTGAGAGATTCTTGCTGCAAATGCTCAGTAACTAAAGCAGCATGTTGGGATGCATTCATGTCCCAGTCTGGCTGTGGACATGATGCTCATATTTCACGAACTGCATCCTGATTTTCGGGATTCCTTAATGCTACTTCGTCAACGCGTTTTGCATGGGAATGCCGAGATAAAAGCTGTTGCCAAGACACGCTGAGGCATGTGCAGTCATGATCGAATCCCGCATGTCCAGCATGGATATCCGCATCTACCCATGCACCAAGCTGGGCCCATCTCCAGGACAAAGGCAACAGAACATAATCGATTCGGGATCTTCTCCCAGTTGCTCTGTGGGTCCAGGTCTCTACGGGGCCATATTGAAATTCCTCGAAGGTCGACGGCGCAAACAAGGCATTGTGAGACACAAAAGCCTCCAGAAAAGATGTGTTGTTGTTTGGCAGGTCATGAGTATGACCACCAAAATGCACAGTCATTTCTGTTGGAGCCGTTGCGTTCGCATCAAGAAAAACAAGGCACTCAAGCTGACCTACTATTGTAGAGAATCTTTCCTGCAATCGCTCCCACCATTCTTTTCTTTCTGAAATTTCAATCCCAGTGTGAGGCGCATGTGCTACCAAAAGGCAGAATGCACCTAGTTGGCCCTGGTATTTGACGAAAAGCATTCGTGGCTCAGCATGGACAACAAGGAACTCACCAGGGTGAAACCCGATGCCATCAGCAATTGGAATGCTCCGGCAAACCCAGAGCTCCACTCCATACAGGCCACCTTCTGCTTTACCACTACAAAACCGGAGGTGTGAATGCGAAACTATCATTCCAGGATCTGTTCTGGCTTCCTGTATTCCTACAATATGCATGCCTTTACTCTCAAATTGGTCC